ACACATATATACATATATATATATATATATATATATATATATATATATATATATATATATATATATATATATATGAGGTGTATTCATGTCGTAAGAATTCAACAAAACACGTTTTATTATATTCCACTGACAAGGTATTTGTATTCAATTCTATATTATATTTTCCAATATCTCGAATGTGTTGTATATTACATCGGAATTGATGTCATGAATAAATTGCCACAAATTCATTTTTTTACATTCGTATGTTTTCAAATATTTCTACTATCACACTCATTGTCATGCAGTGGCTATTTGCATTATCGTACGGAATACATTCTGATGTTTTAAAATGCTGGAACGGAAAAATACAGAGGACAAATTTTGAGAAAGAAAACCAAAATATAAAACAAAATACAGTAAATTTGCAGATAATGCACCACTGACTAATTTTTAAGAAAAATATCATTCCTGGTTTAAAAAACAAATATTATTATTCCAAAAATTAGCATTAAAAATTGCGATAAATCTATCGTTTAGGAGATATTGACAATCATAGTTAGGTCCCAGTTACAACCCAGCTGTCAAATAGCATTAAAAATTGAGGAAAGTACCGTTTACGAGAGATTGATAATCTTACTTGGGTTCCGGAATTTGAAGATAGTGCCCCGGTAAACAATTTTAAAAATTGCATTTATTCTGGTGTTAAAAAGCCTGATTAATACAAAAATTGCAATAAAAAAATTGCTGAGAGGCTGTGTCTTAGGAGGATATTGATAAGCTTAGTAAAGAATAAAACATTATCTTAACATTAGTGAGTGATGCATTATCTCCAAATCGTGCAGTATTGATGACCAGGCTCTACCCGGGACAGAATGAAAGATTGTCAGTATCTTGTAAACGGCAAATTTCTTACAATTCTTAATGCTATTTTTGGACTAATCACGCTTTCTTACACCAGTAATGGTACTCTATTTCCAAATTGCTCACATTTGCATATTTACCCAAAACTCGATGCAAAGAATAACTCAAAATACTCAAAGACATTATAAGACAAAAAAAGACAACACATGATAAAATAGATTTCTATACAGAGAATGTTATAAAAACATTTTTAAAATAAATTATAGATATTTGATACGGGCTTTTGCTTTAAACTGTTGCATAAGACGTCACTTAATCTAATACCATGTCCATTAATCCAAAAACGCTATACAAAGTAGTCAATGTAAAAATGCTTACATTGCTGCTAACATCCGCCTCTTGGCAATAACTATGATAATCGAAACTACTTGAATACAGCAGAAAAAAAATCCATGATCTTGGGATAATTTATTCATAACTTCAATCCGAATTCACAAGATCTCCTTTGGAATTGGAACAATATAATAAAAATTTGAATAGACAAACATTCTTTGTGCATATATATATATATATATATATATATATATATATATATATATATGTGTGTGTGTGTGTGTGTGTGTGTATTAACTGATTTAAGATATGGTTTCTTCGATACACAGGAATTACCATTTTTCAAAAACCGAAGCTAAAAATTTCAAATTCATTTATATAATTAAACTAAATCATTATTTCTGTTTCATATTCAAGCGAATTTTGGAATCCAAAATTCGCTTGAAGATGAAACAGAACTAATTTTAAGTTCTTAGATTCGTTTTTTGAAACATGGTAATTCCTCTGTAGCGAAGAAACCATATTTTAAATCAGTTAATTTATAATATTTATGCACTATATATTTAAACTGAGCACTCTTTTGTAAAAATAAAAATATCAATAAGAACAGCGGATTATATATCTTACTGTTCTTTTTTTCATTACATATATATATATATATATATATATATATATATATATATATATATATGTGTGTGTGTGTGTGTGTGTGTGTGTGTGTGTGTGTGTGTGTGTGTGTGTACCTGGCACATGACGGGTAGTGTTTATAAACTTTCAGTTGCGTCTCTGTCTTCGAACAGAGTGGTAATCAGTTGTGACTCCGTCAGTGGAGAGAAGAGCAACTGAGGAAAATAAACACTGCGATGTCCCGGGCCCTGGGAATAGCTCCCCCTTGGGCGTACCCTCTCATTAGTTGTAATACACTATAGAGTATTTATGTGTATTTTATATTTTATGTGAATAGGTAAATATATATCGATATACGAGAAAGCGATCATATACAAATGAATATATATATATATATATATATATATATATATATATATATATATATACATATACAAATGCATATATATATATATATATATATATATACACATACACACAGGATGATCTTATGTATGCGTGACCAGCACGGAGTTCTGACTTAACAACCTGTGACCTTTTTTTCTTTATGGTAGGTTAAAAGAGCAAATCTACTCTATAAAATAAAAACTTTGGAAGAACTTGAAGCGCGAATACAGGAAGTTATGTCTTCCATACTATAAGAGTTTCTGGTGAAATCAATTGACGCGATTCATGGGCGACCCGATAAGCTCGTCGTGATATCCGATGCCCATATCGAAGTTTAAATAAATTTTCATGCTAAACGCTCTTTTCTCATATTGATTTCTTGTAAAAATATAGCTCATAAATAAATTATCAGCATTTTAAAATGGTGAGTAAGTTTTGAAACACCCTATATGTGTGTGCGTGTGTGCGTGTGCGTGTGAGTGTGTGTGTGTGTGCGTGCGTATGTGTTTATAGTCTTACCTTTTATAATTTATAACAATTCTACATTTGAACATTTGTAATAGCATTTATATTGTAGCATGCGTTGTTTATAATAAATATATCGATGTATAGAAACAGAAAAAAAGCTGATTGATTGAAATATGATACAATTCTTCGACACTTAACACACCGAGGTGAGCAGTGCTAACATGTGACCTGATATGACGTGACGTAGGCACTGAAGGAAAAAAAGTACTCGTGGCTCCCTAGTGCCACAAACTACGCAGAACATTTCTTTCAGTAAAAAGAGAAAGAGAAAAGAGTAGAAAGTAAATATCTGCATATATAAAAAAAACAAAAAAACTCATCTGCAAAATATAGACAATGTGAAGAAAAAGAAATGGAAGGATTTGTCTGAGGATCAGAGAGAGGAAATGCTAATGACTAAAGAAAATTCCTATTTTTTTAAAAATTAGTATCTATCGTATAAACATAACAGAGTTCAGTTTAGTCTAGAAATTAGGCTTATTTTAAGCGTTAAGTGAGACTTTGTAAAGTGAGACTTTATTAAGTCTTAATACTTGGAACTTGTCTCTTTCATATATTTCGTTCTGGATATGACGATAAATTAAATCCGTCAGCAAGGCCTCTCATATGGAGATTGGAGGTTCAGAGGAGCCTGAAATCACCTATTAATTGCTGTTGTTCCCAGATATACCCTGATAAGGGGTGGTTTCACGTGTCAGGATCCCAGCTATGGGTAAAAGATGAAACCCCCAAACAAAGACAATATAAAAGTATTAAATAAACAGCAATAATTTTTCCTAGAAAAAAAATTACCAGCAATAGATATTTATAGTAAAATGTCCATCGATGTATTTTATAGCATAGGTTCCAAACTAAATGCCGAACAATACATTTTATAGCAAAATGACCAGAAATACATTTAATAGCAAAATGACCAACAATACATTTTATAACAAAATGGCCAACAATACATTTTATATGAAACAAAATTTATAGCAAAATGGCCATCAATACAATACATGTTATAGCAAAATGACCAACAATACATTTTATAACAAAATAGCCATCAATACATTTTATAACAAAATGACCAACAATACATTTTATAGCAAAATGGCCACCAAAAATACAACAATATAACAAAATGGCCTCCAATACATTTTATAGCAAAATGACCAACAATACATTTTATAGCAAAATGGCCAAAATGCATTTTATAGTAAAATGACCAACAATACATTTTATAGCAAAATGACCAACAATACATTTTATAACAAAATGGCCAAAATGCATTTTATAGCAAAATCACCAACAATACATTTTATAACAAAATGGCCACCAATACATTTTATAGCAAAATGACCAACAATACAGATTTATAGTAAAAAGACCAACAATACATTTTATAGCAAAATGACCAAAAGTATATTTTCTGTATTTGAGGGAATACAATTGCATTTAAACATATTTAGATGAAGTCATAAAATAATGTTCAAAATAATTAGATTTCGATATTAAATAACACATAGTGATGCTGATATGCCACTAAACAAAATCAAAATTATTCATATGCTAAACATAACCTAAGCTTGAAATATACCCCAAATATATCGCTTTGAAATACTTATGCACATTAATTATTCGTGTATAATACGCACCTCTAACTTTGCACAATAAACTTCTAGACAAAAACACCTCTCGATTATGATAAGCACCGCATTATGTAGCAGTGAACTTTTACCGAAGTTTCATAAGTGCTAATCTTTTTATCCGATTTGTATCAGCTAAGAATTGTGATATATGATTTAATTATATTTTATATCAAAATTTACAGACTATTTAGCGCAATTGCACGGACATGGTCAGTAGAAAAATTCAATATTTCATTGAATAATAAGTTCATGCTAAGAAGCAAAATCATAAACAAGCGTACATTCCTGGGGATATTGGATATTTCTCGGTAGAGGCGTCAAACAGAAGTGGATATTCGACGTAAGCGCCTGGCGTAACAACGAATCTATGAAGTCATTATTGGCCAGCAGCAATCAGTCACGACACGTCTATTCCTGTAAGTTCGCCAGTTAAATTCAGAAAGGCGCCTTTTATCGCAAACGGAATTCTCCAAGCAAACATGATACTGTCCTTTATGTTCAGCATATCTAATCTGTTATATTACACACATCTTCTATAGAAAAATAATAATAATCTCGTCACATGTGATTGTGATCAAATTACATCATGCACAACATGTACTTTATTAGCACCATAAAGATAGTTTCAAACTGTGTGTAAATAAATGAAACCTACATAGATAGATAGATAGATAGATAGATAAATAGATGGATAGATAGCCCGTGATACAGAAATGAATAGATGAAATGAATAGATAGATAGATAGATAGATAGATAGATAGATAGATAGATAGATAGATAGCCCGTGATACTGAAATGAATAGATAGATAGATAGATAGATAGATAGATAGATAGATAGATAGATAGATAGCCCGTGATACTGAAATGAATAGATAGATAGCCCATAATACTGAAATGAATAGATAGATAGATAGATAGATAGATAGATAGATAGATAGATAGCCCATGATACTGAAATGAATAGATAGATAGATAGCCCGTGATACTGAAATGAATAGATAGATAGATAGATAGATAGATAGATAGATAGCCCATGATACTGAAATTTATAGATAGATAGATAGCCCGTATTACAGAAATGAATAGATAGATAGATAGATAGATAGATAGATAGATAGATAGATGAATAGCCGTGATACAGAAATGAATAGATAGAGAGAGAGCCCGTGATACAGAAATGAATAGATAGATAGATAACCCGTGATACTGAAATGAATAGATAGATAGATAGATAGATAGATAGATAGATAGATAGATAGATAGATAGAAAGTGACATAGCAAGTGGCATAGTAAGTGATATAAATAAATAGATAATGATGAATAAATGATCAGATAGATAAATGGATATATAGCAAGTGATACATAGATGAATAAATAGATAGATAGCCTGTGATACTGAGATAGATAGATAGATATATAGATAGATAGATAGATAGATAGATAGATAGATAGATACGTAGCATTAGATATAGTGATGAATAAATAGGGATGGTGATATATAGCGAGAAATGAATATAAACGAATGAGAAAAGATACGAATAAATAAAAAACAAATAAATTAGACAAAACAAAATCTGAAATAATTTGGTTAAAATATCAAAAATAAAGAATGGCAATTTTTTTTTTTAAAAAAGACGCCAAAGGAAATGAACTTAGACACGTATGGGGCATGAAAAAATTTAAGGAAAATTATAGCAAAAGAAAATAAGATGCAAAAATCAGCAAGAATTTTCATTTTGTTTTATATATATATATATATTTTTTGTCTAAAGCTTGTCAAAGAGAAGAAAGTGTGCCAAAATGTTATCAGGAAACAACACGACACCGTTATTTGACGTAATCCTCTATGTAATCAGTGATTCAGTAGCAGAAAGAATCGCCTAACAACATTCGAAACTCTTACAAGATATTTATCAAATACTATTTAAAGAAAAGCTAAATAAACCCCAATATTACTTATCTTAATTTTCTCAAGGCAATTAAAGAGAATGCGATAATATTCTGTTTCCAATTTTCAGATAAAATTATCAAAATGACCTTGATATTTACCGATTTCCTCTTCTTATATTAAGATGAGTAGGCATGCAAACCAGACCGAAATAAACAATTATGACAAATAATGGAGAAGGTTCTGTAAATGATCGAACGTGTAAAAAATGGTTAGGGAAGTTTTGTGCTGAGTATTTCTCACGGAACAATGCTCCACGGTTGGATACATCAACTGAGGTTTATAGTCAACAGTTCAAAATATACTTCTTTTATGTGTCATTTTCGTTCTGGGAACGGGCTTTTATGGCACTCCACAACTTACTGACATTTTCTTATTTTTTACTCTAAGTAGCTTTTGATCCTTTACAATCCATCTTTGCCCTTATTAACACCCATTCGCTTTTATGTCACGTTAAATATATTGACAATAAAATTGAAGAAATACAGCATCCGATATTAAATACAACTTTGTTCAACACGAAGCCTAATAAAGTAACATCATACTTCAGTAATTAATACCTGTCTAGAAAATCAGCATGCAAAATGTGTTAAAATAACTAGACTCGAACCCCTCACAAACTGATAGGAAACTACTGGAGTTAGCAGGTAGGCCACGTATGATCACATCTAAGCTACGCTTAGATGTGGCATAAGGCCGAAAGTATATAAGCAGTCCACTCTACAAAATAATAATTTCAAGGAACATGTATCAGAATACAGATTATCAGAATTTGGTTAGGCCGAAAACTTCTTATCACCGCCTCGTATATGTGCGTATGTATAGTGATAGAAAGTCTTCTAGCGTTTAATGTTAAGTTAATGTATTATATCACGGAAAAAACGTTATTTACTGTTGGGGGGGGCAATAGAAATAGCAGGTATGTATTCGTCTGTCGCCCATGAAAATGACTTTGCAATACTTAAGCCTAGGACAAGAGAGAGAAAGAACCTTAGTTCGCTAGGTGATGGCACACGGGGTACGATTTGCGTTATTCGAAGTTCGTGTCTCGAATTCGCAACATTCGGACTATTTGTTGCGAGTGAAGCTTCGATCGCGACGGTTCGAGGCTCGTGTTTGCGGTGGTCCGCGCAAGATTTTAAAACATGTAATTCGATTTTTATTCAGAAGGTGTATATTTAATACAAGTATCTGCTTCTTAGAGATTAAAAAAAAATAAGTGCAGTTGTGTTTGGAGATAGAATTATTGACTGGGCCCGAATAGTGTGATGAACAAATTTTATTAACCCACGCGTTTATACTAAATGCAAAATAATTACTTTAGTCTTAATAAACTTAATTTGTTCGAAATTCTAACAATCGGAAAATGCAGAGACTACCTGTGGGTTTTAAACAATTGCAACTACAATAAGATTAACCAGTCAAAAAGTATTGATAACAATGCTACATCGGAGATATTTGGTGAAATTAATATAATTATATGAATTACAACTACTCGAGGCAAATAAACAATATGGCACTAGATAAAACTGGATTATAAATAATTTAGTAATGTAGAATTTGGAGACCGTTGGCTAGATTCCAAAGACTAATTGGTCAAGTCGCGTTGGATAAAAAAAAAAAAAAAAAAAACACACACACACATGCACAAACACACACGACAATTTGGGGAAAATATTTTATGTTAACACGTTTCGCTGATCAAACAACGACATCAGAAAAAGAGATTTGAATTCAACAAAATCTCGCCTATCGTGACAGAACGTGACTTGCGTTAAGCATGTAAATGTTTTTTTTTTCTCTTCATGGTTTCATAGTTTTAATTAGTTTTATTAATATCAACCCAGTTTTTGCTTTTCATAATGTTTTAGTCTTCCATATTGTTTTAACACTAGTCAAATAAGAATAGACTATAATTCGAAACAGCTCTGAATATTAGACACAAACAACTGGCAGGTCATAGACCTTTCAATATATCTTCATCCGGGTAAATTGTCTAAATTTTTTTTATAAAACGGCATTTTCATGTTCAAAATTATGATCACAAAGTTTTCGATGGCACACCGGAGAAGTATGAACATTGCTTAATTTCAAGTCCCTATTATATTTGTATATTCTTTTCCTTAATTGGCGAGCATATTTCACATTGGCATATATATATATATATATATATATATATATATATATATATATATATATATATATATATAATTTGTTTATTTAAGCAGCAATCCTTCTTTCATGCACATTTCACTGAATACGAGAGACAAGGAGATAAAAAGAACATTCGGACGGTTTTATATAATTTATCATCTGAAAAGAAAAACATGATTAGATCGCATGAGAAATTGTAAAAAAAACTAAATAAAAGTACCTTGTCTGACGTATTCAATGAAATGTGCATGAAAAAGGATTGATGCCTAAATACACAAATATATATATATATATATATATATATATATATATATATATATATATATATATATGCGCTCGAACAAAGTTTCTAGAATATTCAGCCCGGTAGATGTATAAAATAAATATACTGGTATATATTCATGCCATCTACTCAAATATGCGTATCCATTTTTAAATTTTTTTTAATTAAATAAATTAACAATATGTCGGATTTAATCCATTTACTAACATATATATTTATATATATATATTATATATATATATATATATATATATATATATATATATATATATATATATATATATAATATGAGATAACGATATATTTTTTTATTATTTTTATACATCAGGAACAATATGGTATAAAAAATATATGACAAAATAGAAAGAGTTTCTTGTGACGCGTTTCGTACCCTAGGAATTTGGCGGACTAAATTAGTTATGTTGGTACGATTTTTTCGCCTTTGTCATAATTTTTTCCCCAAATTATATATATATATTTATATATATATATATAGTTTTGACATTAAATGGATCATTTTCGCGTTACAAAAAGACTACCGTTTTTAATAATTACATTCTAATGATGAAAGAGATTTTCAAACTTATAGAATCATTTCTCAAGAAAATGACAAGATATATCAGGCTACTCATGGTCTTTCATATTAAATAGAAAAGACAAGTTGTATCTGTTATACAGTAACTCTAATCCCTGATATATATTTTTAAATTGAATTTTCATTTGAAATATTCACTGTTAAATATTTGATTTACTTCCTTATTCAAAAAGGTTATTTATTAAGCGTAAATATCTGCTACAACTTAAACAACTAACGCACTCAATATGTTCGTCCATTCGGCTGTAAGAATAACTTATGAACCATTGCTACAGAATTCTACCAGTTCCTCGTTGTGTCTGTAGTGTCTTCATTAAAATTCATTGTTTCAGTCAAAGAACAAAATCAAATTCGAATTGAAAGCACCTAATTAAGGCCAACGAATGAGCAGGCGTTGGGCCGCTGTCGGCTAAATATAAGCAGTGGGTCTATGTATGATGATACCTGCTTTCTAATTGATAGGTGAGAATGTAAGTTGTAAAAGTTTTTTTTTTCGGGTCCCTCTCGGAGGGTTTATTATTGTTGGACACAATCTTAACAACATAAGATACGCTGATGCCACTGTGCCAGAGATATAGAAATATAACTGCATAAACTCCGATACAAGGTAGGACTATGACTAGGATTGAACTGTACTAAGCTATGAGAAGTGCGAAATAGGAACATGCTATCCGATCTCAGGAGTCCAAAGCGTACCCTGGTGTACAAAGAAGCCTAGGGATTTCATAGAATAAGAGAAAGCGTTTGCATGCTGTCGTATTAGTGCATTGTCACACTGATTGACGAGGGAATAATCTTGCTTGTAGTCGGGAACCGACATGCGCAGTAGAAATAATAGTTTCTTCCGGTCCCCAACGAATCGTGTTGCTTGTTTACTTTATATCTATCGATAATATCGGTCGCTACCTTACCTCTACTCAGCCATCAAAACAAGATACATGCTTTGCAAACAACCAATAGTATTTTGTACTTACAGGCTATGGTATGATTTTTTAGCGGATGGCAACTGTAGAACTTAATGGGAACTCGAAAGAAACTTTATAACCCATGACAAATTATTTTCTTAATCTGTATGCAAATATCAAGAGGTAAGTATCCTCTTGGGAATTTGTATTGGTAAGAATTCCGGGCTAATCTGTTGCATTTACTATCGCATTAATTCCCTTTGGAAAGGCAAAATCCCGTCTGTTTTCTCTCCGTCTCTTGGCTATAGAGCTGGGTAAGCTAGGCTCTTTAACCCTAGAAAACAAACCATTAATTAAAGTTACATCACTAATTAACCGTTGGTATATCATACCCGGTTTTGAAAATATCAAAACAAAATACTAAATATAAAACTTTATTTGAAATAGTTTACATGCAGGCACTTCAAACTTTGGACTTTCAGTTAACATTAATAGAAACGGAAAAACATTTTATTTAGGTAAGAAAATCAAGTACTAAAAATTGTAATTAATAATAGGAAAATTTGCGCTGGGTACTATATACCCATGGTTAGGATTAAGCCGGGACGAAAATCATACTAAAAGAATTAAAACTGAATTCTAAACTCCGGAGAAGAATAATCCATTATTATTCCTATAACACATGACAATTCACAAATAATAATAAAAAAAAGTAATTGTGAAGAGTCATGATCACCTACACCCTGAAAAGTAAATGAATAGTAATTTATGGTTATGTAATTATTTGGCTTCATGCAAATAACTCAAACTTATTTTTAAGGCAAACGCATAAACACAAATACGAGTGTAATCGTAGACTTACATTTATATTTTCTATATGGAAACAAAAATAAAAGCTGTGAACAAGATGGAAAAATATATTTATAAACAATAATAAAAGCAAAGAAAGACATTAGGCAAGGTGAATAATAATGACAGCTAATGACGAGATACTTTCTGAAGATGTAAACTATTAATTTAAGTGATAAGTAATTCCCTTTGTGGAAACAAGTTGTACTGATGAATTCATCATCTTAACTATTAATTATACGAGGCAGTTAAGAATGAATTTTGAGAACACAGACATATCTTAGTTTTTACAGCAGTAGCAGCATACACAGTTGGTTAAAGGAAAAAAGGTTGTTCTAAATGATAGCATAATGCCGCATACAGCAAAAAAAGATGCAGGGACATATTTTGGAATTTGATTGGTCGGCTATACCTCACCAGCCATATTTGCATGACATTGCATCAAGCGGTTATTACATTTTTCGAATGTTGCAAACCGTTTTGATATGAAAACATTTTCTAATGAAAACCAAATTCAAACGTTCTAAACATGCGACGTCGTAAATGGCTCCGAAAAGCTGCCTAATGAGTGACAACAAGCCATCACTAATGATGATGAATTGTAATGTCAACAGTGGCTAACCTTCTTGATGAGTATAAATGAATTGCTAGTAGAACGAGACTAAAGCATCAAGAGTTACTGAACACAGGGAAAAGGCAAAATCCTTTGGAAGGCCAAGATCCCTCACGTCTTGAACGTATATATAACTTGTCTTCTGAAGATAGCGAGTGCATGAAATTTTATTAGCTATTCGAGCTGTCCTTCGTTGAATGTTGACGATGTAAGCCGTTTCCTACTTTGTCTAGATAGTCTAGGCTTTGAGCACTTTAATGTACTGCGCAGGCAGATGTTTGTCATTACGTCTTTCTTTTTTATTTTTTCTGTCCTGGTTCGAGATTTTCTTATCTAATATAACAAGACTTTTTGAAAATTGTCTGTTGGTTACACCAACATTGCGGTACATATATATATATATATATATATATATATATATATATATATATATATATATATATATATATATGAACATTTGATGTGACAGGTGACAGGTTATTTCATGCTGGACGCAATCGTCTGACCTGACGATTGCGTCTAGCATGAAACAGCCTGTCGCCTCTGAGAGTTGACTTCAATGTTCACTCTTATATTTATATATATACATACGCTCTATCTCTGATATTGACCACTTTAGCCTATAAATATAGCACACCTTAAAACTATGTTTTTCATATATATATATATATATATATATATATATATATATATATATATATGTGTGTGTGTGTGTGTGTGTGTGTGTGTGTGATGGAAATAATACATTGAAAATGGATTTCTTAAAATATGCCCGAATAAAGTGAATGGGATTAAACCTATGAACTGAAAAAAAAAGAAATCTAAAAAAAATAAAGAGAAAAACTACTCCCCATTTTTGCCGAGGTTTAATGGGATTTTCTATATTGCAATTTGCTAAGAATTCATATTGCGCAACTGGCTTCATTGAAAGATGTATTTGAGTGGTAAAGTCATTTTATAGGTACCGAGGTCTACTTCTGTTTCGACTGTACGACAACATCCGCCCTTAAGTTTCAAAGTCGTCTTCTCCAGAAGAGTTAGAATAGAGTGACATTCCATAGGTTTTAAAATCCTCAGATTTCTAATCCACAAACTATCAAATAACTCGCTCCGTGTATCAAAATTTGTTCGGTTAGTGTTACCTAACATCTGAACATATAGAAATATTTCACAATGAATCCGTTCTCTCAAAACCGATTTTTTTTCTTTTAAAATGAAAGGCATAAGTTAATTAGAAAATGGCCTAATAGTAATGGAGTTAATAGCCATAGGATACATTCAGAATTCTTGGGCACCTCGAGGTGGTGTAATGGTTAGCAAGCTTGTCTCGCTAGAACAATTACGACTGAGTAGTGAGTTCGATCCTCACTGGGTGCCTCTTACTTTCAGACTTGTGCCACATCCAAGCTACGCTTGGGAAAAAAAAGGGGCACCTTGGCGTGGTGTAATGGTTAGCAAGCTTGTCTCGTTAGCACAATTACAACTGAGTAGTGAGTTCGATCCTCCCTGGGTGCTTCTTACTTTCGGCCTTGTGCCACACCCTAGCTACGCTTGGAAAAAAAAAAAAAAGAAAAAATGGGGGACACCTCGGCGTGGTGTAATGGTTAGAAAGTTTGTCTCGCGAAAACTGTTACGGCTGAATAGTGAGTTCGATCCTCGTTGGGTGCCCCATAGTTTCGGCCTTGTGCCACATCTAAGCAATGCTTAGAAAATCAATACATTCAGAATTCTTTGATAGACAGTCGGTTGAAGTTTATATAACATTTATCTAAAAAAATTGATCGGGAAAATAGGATTGTTAGGTTGACTATTATATTTTTGGTACTGGAAGGGGTTCCTTTCCTAAAATTCTTTTAAAGACTTTGTTGAACGTCAGCATCATTATTGCATTATTTTCCCATCTAGAGCTATCCATTTTCGTCGTTGTTACTCCTGCAGGCTTCAAGCGATGTAATTCGTTATTTAGTAAAGCTTTTCCTGATTGTGTAGCACCAGCATATAAGATATGATGAAGTATTGTCTACTTCAAGACCTGCGGGATTCATACGCCTGAAGCTATATTTAATCATTGATCCGAGAAATCTGATTTAAATTACAGTTTAGAGATTTCTAATCTATTTGGTTATCATGCATGACATCCACGTGAAAGTTTAGGTTAAACGAAATGTCAAAGAAAGTTATGAAGAAAAAAAAAGTTTGTTCACGTAATAATTAGGCTAAGAATTATACGAATAAAAGATTTGGTCAAAACTTGCTTAATACGTTGGTATCGATCTCACAGTTAGAACATCACGTTTCGGAAATTCATACAAAATTCATACAAAGAAAAAATTAACACATGCACTCGAGATGAATAAATAAAAGTGGATATTCACAAAATAGTTACAAAGAAATATTATGAGTGACTAGAACGAAGTGAACAGGGATATAATACATTAGAGAATAGTTGAATTCTTACTCGTTTTTCAGAACATGAGAATGCAGTAATGAAGCTGCGTTTAACGACAGGGCTATTCAGACGCAAGTGAAAAAAATATTTCTTTTCTTTCCTCAGATAAAAAGAAATGTGGAAACTATATTCAATGCCATATAAAAATGACTCTGTCTACTTTTTTCAGTTTTTCTCAGCAAGCAACGGTATACCTCAACAAATTATCTTTCCCGATAATATTATGTTTCACTCCTAATAATATATTAGAATCTGCAATATATATATATATATATATATATATATATATATATATATATATATATATATGCCAGGTGATTGAAAAGAAACTTATTATTTCATGCATGAGTGATAAGCCAGAAGTCCTGATTAATAGCCTGTGCCCTTTTACATTTGTCGTTCGTTAAAGGAGAAATTCTACTATATCAAACAAAGACTCGTGAAGAACATTAAGGGTGAATACAAAAAGTTATGTCTTCCATACCACAAGAGTTCCTGCTGAAATCAGTTGACGCGATTCCTGGGCACATTGAGAAGCTGGTAGCGAAAAGTGGGGCAAATATAAAATTATAACTAAAATCTCTTGCTAAACGATTTCTTCTCATATCCATTTCTTATAAAAATTATAGTTAATGAATAAATTATAAGTATTTTAAAACCTCTATTTACTTTTCAATGACCCTGTATGTACGGGGGCGCGCATACACACACACACACACACATATACATATATATATATAATTAAGCAATTCATCGAGTCTGAAAGAAACCTCAACAGAATGCAGAAAGTACTGAACGACCGTTTCGTCCTATATATGGGACTCATCGGCAGTGCGCATCCACTACCGAAAATTGAAACCCGTTAGGTTATCCAGCAAACGTCATACCAACTATCCCAACAGCCCTCGGCAACGAAGAGGTTGCAAATCAGACTCAATATAACGCCGTTCGCTCACATATTCCGTGGTGGAACTCAACTGAGATTCTCTCTAACCATTGGACTG